CACAGGTAGAACTGTAAATATTTTTTAAAGGTATTGTGTTAGAAAACCTTTATTAGACATCCCCTTTTTCATTAGTTTTATAAAGTTTTTCATTGAGTTCATTTAGGTAATTACAAAAGTTTTCACATGTCAAACTTGTGGTGTAATATGCAACTTTTATTGTAGTATTCCAAATGTAAATCCAATATTAGTTTTCCAATAGTTTTTTTTATGATTACTTCTGGTGCAATTTAACAAATTACTTTCAGATAACATTCATAATACATACAATTATTCTAACTTTTTTCTCAATGTTATATTAATATTTTATCAAATATAACACATACAATACTTTTAAATCTATCAATATTACATACAGTATAGAACTTTAATGCAATCGAACAAATAACATCTGAAATCTTCAATGAAACCTCAAATAACGATAGTATTATTCATTCATCATAAATTTCGTCAAAGTATTCATCTGAATTCCATGCCCAGATCGGAAGATCTTCTGGTCTTGCGGGAATTAATGATCGCATCTTAATCCATCGTGGATCGTCCATTTTAACAATTTCGCGTGGTATAGGTGCAATATAAGAATGTCGACCTCCAGAATTTAGCTTTTCTACTCGAGTTCGTTTGACTACATTATCTACAAGATTGCAAATACGATTTCCCTAAATAAAGTATTAGTATAGTTATTATATTTTATTATTATATAGTGAATTAGATATTATAGTGTTACCTCAATGCTCATCCAAGGAAAAACTGGTATCAATAATTTTTTTCTGGATAATTCAGACACATTATCTTGTTCATTCGATGAGCTAACCATTTCCTCATCATCAGACACTTCTGGAGACATTGCTTCAAAGGAAAGTAACTTTTCGACTTCACTTTTAGAGTATAATAGTTGATCTTCCGGAATTTTATTTAACGCAGCTAAACGATTAGATGATTTCTAAATAAAAAAAAAAAACTTGTTTAATAAACATTAATAAATAATAATCATACAATTGATGCAAATTACATGTAGTATTTACCGTCTCACGTCGCCTACGACGTCGTGATCGTTGATCATTTAGAATTTTCGCAGCTGGAGTGGTATTTCGTTCTTTTTTTAAAGTTTTGAAATAGGCTTCAGCAATTTCAATAATCGTGGCCTCATTCCATGTTTCATTGGTTTCTACAAAATAATTTAAAGATATTAAAGATTAATAAAAGTTTTTTTAGTAATTCTTAAAATACATACGCGTTTCTTCAAACTGAACGTCAAATTCTTTGATAAAAAGATCAACGTAATTTTGTGTAATTCTTTTGTTTTTTCGATTTTTAGGACCAAATTCGAAGTTATATATGTAATTATTATTAAATATTGGAGGTTCGAAATCATCAAATCCATTGAAATAACGCATTTTGTCATGAAGTTTCGCAGTGAGTATAGGATTTGCTGTAGTAATAGCGCGTGGAGAATTAATTGTTGCATTTGAAATGTTAATACTGTTATGATTTTGCATAGAGGGTAATAGACTATTCATGGTAGTTTGAAGTGCTAAAGTTGATGTTGACAAATTTTCCAATATAGTTGTTGTAGTGATTAGTGTATCCTCAATACGTTGAATTTTAATTCCATGTTCATTATTAATACGTTGTATGGAGGTTACAAATTCACTCTGATTTTGTTCATAAATATCAAGTCGACGCTTCAAAGAATCAACAGAATTTTTGGTTGTTTCAAGTTGGCCTTTAACATCGGATGAAGTTAAAAGAGATTTTATTTCATTTACAGTTTGAGTTAAGCTAGTAATGCTTGCTGAAAGAGTATTTAAATTCGCTTTGTTTGTCATAAATAAGATCTCGTTAACACTGATTAAAAAATAAAATAATTTAAAATAAAAATATATAAAATATATACTATATTTGAAGCTGACGCAATAACCTAATATCAAATATTTAATCAGTATTGAAGTTTATGCACTACAAAAAATAAATACATACGATTATACTGAAAATTTTCGATTTAATGGTATGATGACGACAAATTTTTTTTTATTTCCAGATAATTTAATTCCATTACTTTTAACAAATCGACCAATTATTCTTTGAATCGGTAATATAGTTTCAAACCCTCGTTCAACAAATCGATCTTCCCATAACTCAGCATGATAACTTCCATCAGCGTTTGTAGATAATATGTTTTTTGATATGCTATCTCGTGATTTGACATAGAAATAGCTTTGTTTTTGTAAATCTCTTTTGTACCAATCAATGATAGCAAGATAATGGCTAGTCGGGGTTGTTGAACTCGGTAAAGAGATCCGATGTTCAAAAAAAAACTTAATTACTCCTGGCCAATTAATTCTTTTACCATCATCTAATTGCCACCGCGCAAATATATTGGAATTTAAATCAGAGCGTGAATAGAATGAACTGTATATCTCATCTCCAAGTTTGAGAGCTGTTGCTCGACGTGCCGTTGAAGAAACAAGAATTGAATAGTTTGATTTTGGTGTTTGATTTTCGTTATGAAAGCTATAATTCGGATAAATGTTTGAATAATAATGAACGAGAAATTCAATTATTTTAGTTGATAAGGTAATTTCATGGAAAGGGCCAATAAAATGACCAGGAAATTGTTCTGAGCCAGTCACAATACGATTAATTAATCCACCAGACATCGCACGAAAATCCAATGCCTCTTGAACTGTAAAATTATAATGTCCTAAAGTTCCAGTTTTCTCAATATTCATTTGAGCGATTAAATCTAAAGACGATAAAAAATCTTGGGGCAGGTAATGATAAGCTTTTGCCTTAATTTGTTGGATATAAACTTGATGGTTAAAATTTTCAAGCACTTCCAATTCCATATTACGATTTGAGTTAGGAAATAAACCAAGTTCTCTAAAGCAAATAAATTGAAATAAATAATATAATTGTTTAAATAAATAAATAAATAAATAAATAATAATAAATAAAAATTTTAAAAAAAAATAAAACTTACCCATTGTAACGTTCGTAAGCGAAACACCAGAATGAATACCATGGCCCATAATCAAGCATACATTCTCGTAAATGTTTATGTAAGTGCATATTAGGAGTACAAAAACGTTTACCATAAATTTGTTCAGAATATTGTAAAAATGCCATCATAGTTATATGACCAGCCTCAATTTCCGCCTCGGTTATAATTCTTTGACTCCATATTGATACAGCAGTAACAAATGCTTGCCAACATTGCCGATCAGCTTCATCAAGAAATTGGTGCAAAACATATGTCGAATAAATTAGAACCCACGTTTTCCATTGGTCAGCAGTAAGTGCATTGAATCCTGATGTAATTTTAAAGTTTATACGACCCATATCGACTGGTAAAGGTGTTGCATCAATTAGGCTTTGAATTTCATACAATTGTTTAATACCAATTTTTGGAAAATTATCATTCATCCACGCACGTTGCATTATACGTTTACTTGTACCTAAAAATATGTTGTGCATTGGATCAATTGTAGTAAATCTGGGTATATCGATATATGGCAATTCTAAGAGACAGGTCCATCGGATTCCATATTGTTGAAATATTTTTTTTCGTGCTGTTGAATCACTAATTTTATATTGTAGCGCTATTCGTCGATGTTCAGCATTAGTCAATGGTGGATCTTCTTGAATATAATTGGAATAATCAATTTTAGAAGATCCTGAAAAACACGGAAAAACCCTAGTACATTTGCTGCATGCATGCTTTGAAGAATGCGGGGCTAGTCCTGTAACCTATTAATGTTATATTAATTAACAAGAATTGATCTTGTTTTTTATTAATTATTTACAAGTTGTATACTTGTAATTAATATACAAAAAAAAGCAAGTTCAAATATAATCATCATTATACCTTACGCGCAGCCGGTATATCACATGCAATTTGAATTAATGCACAACGAAATATACGCCCAATCGGATATAAAGAAGTTTGAAATAATTGACCAACCCAAAGTTGCTTTAATTCATTGACTATAGGCTGGAGATAATTTTGCAATTGACTTGTATCTGGTTCTTTTGGACCAGGTATAATTCCAGCAAGAATAAGATTTTCACTTCTATATCTAATATGTCTTGGAAAATTGAAAATCGTCATATATATTGGTGCGCAGCTTCTTTTAACTCGGCTATATGGTGTATACCAGTCAAGATTAAGAGCTAGCCCAATTCGAACCTCAGCTTTATCCCCTACGAAAAATGGCTGTCCTTGTTCGTCTAAAAATTCTTGCCAAACTTTTCCGTCATAGATGTCACCTAATACGCCCTTCTCAATTTGTCGCTTAAATGGAGAATCCATTAGTCTTTCATTCGATTTATCTGCTAATATTGACGCAATTCTTGCGGTAATAGATTGATAAGGGTAAATCGTTTTAGGCTAAGTTAAAAGTAAATATTATGTTAACTTTTTTTTTTAATTATTATAAAGTATTGAGATAAAATAACTTAACTTTATATTTAAGTTTTCCACCTGATCCTCTAATGACCTTTGTTAAAACTTTTTGACACACAAGACATTTTGTGTGCTCCGACGTTTTTAAATGCAATTCAGTAGGTAAATAAATAGAATGACAATATGAACACACTATATATTTAAGAATTGTGTTGGGATGTGCGATAATTTTTTCAACGAAATATTGACTTTTTGGAAATTTTTGAAACTGAAATTCATCGATAAAAGTTAATACGTGACTAAAAAAAATGATTAAAGTCATAATTCCAGTTTTGGTGATGGTGAATGCTTGTTGAAATAAAAATAACCATAGAATAACCCATTGTATTACATAATTTTCTTTTAAAAGTGGCGGATTATATGAGAGCCGTACTGGATTATACGATGGTGCTAGAAAGATATCTGATATCTTCAAATCAACGTTTAATGATGATGAAAATGGTGTAATTTTTTCATAATCTTCATCATCAGTCTCCTCATTGATATCGATTTCTTCATATTCGTCTTGATCAGAATTATCATTTTTGTCACTTTGATTAGGATTACTATATTGCTCACTTTGATCAACATCGCTTTGACAAGAAGTACTATCCTGATCGCTTTGGTCAAAATCGTCTGGCAAACAATCTAACCGCATTATCGGTAAATTTTTTGGTTTATAAAATGAAATCTTGTTTGGTGTCAGCTATTTTATTAATATTAATTAGATAAAAATTTTAAATGTTTGAGTGCCACAAAGGGAAAACATATCTTATAGGATTTGCAAGTTTTTCCTTTGCGGCACTCATTTCAAAGCAAAATAATAGAACTTAATTTGTACTTCGCCACGCCCTTGAAATGATACAGAGTTTTCTGTATATGAAGACGACTCTGCTATATTTGTACTGTTATCAAAATCATAATTTATCCCATTTTCGTCATCAAGGTCATAATTTATCCCATTTTCATTATTAGAGTCATAATTTATCTCATTTTCGTCGTCAAAGTCATGATTTATCCTATTTTCGTCATCAAAGTTATAACTTGTCTCATTTTCGTCACTTGGTCTATCAAAAGTTTCAAGTTCTTGACTTAATAAATTAGTTAAAGTAGGTTGAGATAAAGAATTTATTGAGACGGAAGTTATATGTTGGTAATTATTCCTTTGATGTTGCCGCCAAGTTCTCCACGATAATTGTTTGCCGTTTATTAGTCGGCACTTTGAACACAAACACTTAGGCATTTATTCGTAAACCTTATGAAAAAAAAGATGATAGAATATAGATCAAGTAAAGTTTAAAAACTTTATATAAATAACTTTTCAGAAGTTTTTTAGAGGTTTTTTAGAGGTTTTTTATTAGTAGTCTAAATTTTTTCCATTCGTTTTTTAAAAATTTACATATTTTGATTTAATGATAAGTACAAAAGTTTTTCAATAATATTACTATGGTTTTTTTAATTGCAGTTACTGTTGAAAAACTTTAAGAATAACCTTTTATTTATTATAAAGGTTTTTTAATATAATACATTTAAAAAAGATTTACAGTTCTACCTGTG